CCCCAAATGACCTACATGGTGTATAGCAGGACTGAATTTTGCTATTTACACTTTTTCAGCAGCTCAGACTAAATAGTGTTGAAATTAGGTTGTTCAAGCAAACAATTGCTGTTTATTCCAAGCATCACAGGCAACCCATACACACAATGTGTAGGCACAGTATAGAGTTCCTAACTGCTAAAGAAGATGGTACATGTAGTTACTGCTGGAATTTGAAGGATTTGAACAGACATATGTCTATTCCAAATAAATAAATGGACATATCTTTCATGTACAGAAACCATTTATGACTCTGCTCACATCATGTGTGTACATAACCAAACTATTTATGAATAGCCCAAAGGTCTTTAGTCATACTAGTAAAATTATAACAAATATTTCTCATATTTGGGAACTTCTTTATATTTCTTCAACATATCTTAAGACAAACTTGGTTAGGCTTGATTTGATTACATGACATTGTTACGCATTCTTTGCATGATGTGGATGAAATGAATGCAAACATGATTGACATTATGTGTTTGCTTGTCCTTCTGTACACATGATTCAACTCAAGAATTTCAGAACTAATATGGATAAAATTTTGTATGAATGATATTTTGCCATAGGGGTCTACCCTAAAATTGTACTTTTCAATTTCCTATAATCGTAATATCAGGTTGGCAGGCGAGGTGGGATCAACATTACTGCCATTTACAATGGGGTTACTCAGTGATGTAATAGTAATTCGTTGTTTTACAAAATGGTAACTGCAAAAACAATTTGACTTAATAATGAATTCTTCTCGGACTACCACCCATGTAAGATGGCTGCCATGAAAGCTTCAGATCATAAATTTTTGACTTTACCAAGACAATACTGGCTCTGGAGGCCAAACAGCCTTGTGTCCAATAGGTATCAGGGTCCTTTCCCGGGGGTAAAGTGTAGCTGGGGCATGACACTGACCATTCACCCCTATGTAGTGCCAAGGTTAAGAATGAGTAGGAGCTAAAACACTCTGCACCCAAGTGCCTACATGGCAGGACAGCTTTACTTTAACTTTACTTTTTTTATACACTACATTTATTGATGTTTATATAATACAAATTCAAGACCCTCTGAATCTATGCTGCACTCTTAAGAATCAGTTTCTGATTCATTTGAATCATAAAAAAAAACAGAAAAAAGAAAATGTTTAATACATATATCAGTGAAAGCTGTGGGAAGAATATACATTAGATTGCAATTTCCTTATTTCTTTTGTTAATAAGAAAATAAATAAGAGTGAATGAATAATCCTATGTTCAGATATGCCTGTTTTTACATTGCTTGCAATCTATTGCTATGCTTATGTGAACAACATACACGGTGACACTTGCATAATATAGCCTAATGCATGAATGGTAATTTATTATTCCAGCTCGAAGCATTTAGAATTCAGAATTTGCCAAGAACACAGTGAAAACTCAGTGTATTTGAGTTAAGATTACACTTTTCCAGCTTGTTTAGTTGCAGTTTAATTTAATTTTGCACATTTACACTGGCTCTAACTGAAATTAGTTTTGTCCTTTTAACAACACTTTCTTGATTTCACAGGCTATGTCAAATGGGCGGGTGATTTATGCGATAGACACTGAAGGAAGCAGTTGTGGTGTGTTTCTAAGATACTACATCAGAAGTCATCACCCTGATGATGGAGGCAGCATGACCTCTGAACCGTTGGTGGACATTATATGACACAACAACCCAGAAGACAACATTCTTCAATTACTACTCTTTGTTCAGTCAATGGCAAGATAAAGTGTCATTTCTCTCATCAGCACTACAACAAAACTCATCGGAAACAAGTTTGAAAGTGTATTCTGTGCCGGAAACCAGGATATATGTAGAGCAAATATTTGTGCCATTTCCTTAATATGCACCAACCGCAAATATTCATACACTAAAAGAAGGTTAAGGAACAACAGACTTTATGTCTGCTGAAAAACACCATCTCTATTTACTACAATAGTCGTAGACAGGTGTGAAGTAAAATCACAATTCACTGTTAAGAAAAGCAGATTATAATGAATGTAAATAAGGCAGCAAATGGCAACTTTGAAGAGTGGGGGAACACACAGAAAACAGTGATTTTTAAATACATAAATCCAAATGTTCCTTGAAAGTATAATATTTGGCCAGGCATGGAAGATATTTTGAATCTCAGCGTACAAATCATTATGAAAGCCTCCCTATAGCGAAGCAATACAACTGATAAAACCCAAACTTTCACAAATTTTTGCAACAATCAAAGAAGTGTGTTTTTATCAATACTACCCCAGGAAAGCCAACTATGACACTTTCCACATAAGGCCAAGTGTCATTACACATACAGGCACTGCCAGTTTACCACTAGGCAAACTGGGCAATTACCAAGCATGTTAAAATTTGGGGCCAGCAAAAATGTTAATAAAAAAGAAATGACATAAAATATGAAATAAGCCAAGCAAAATCACACACAAATCGGAAGGAATATATAAAAAAGTGTTTGCACTTCTCGCTTTGCAATATGCCACCAACAATATTTGGTATGATACACAAACAGTTGATGGGTGTGTTGTGAAGTCGAGGTGTCCAGCTGACACATTACCCGACTGATTGCCTCGTAAATGTGCACCATTACTCATCATTGTCAGCTGAATCATAGATCATTGTGCTAATTGGTTGTTTCAGTTTTCCCAATTTCTTTTGTTTGTACCTTAAAAGCTATACCAACAAACATTAATTGGTAACCATTATTACTAAATGGAAATTCTTTATTACAAATAATTGAAGGGGCATTATTATTATAGACATTTACATTATGTGTGCCCACATACTGAATAAATTCTAAAACAAAAGTACACTGCAGCACAATTTTCAATTTCGTAATTTCATTTGTGTGGAAGAGGGCGCCAAACACCGGCCCTACAAACAAGATTTACATATAAATGGAAAAGAAATTTACCACAATCGGAAAACAAGTTAGTATTTTACGTGCAACTTGTCTTTGAATTCCTTCTCCTTCAAATATAGGCAATTTAATTCCATCATCAAGAAGGCATAAACGGCAAGAATTTGCCCACTTGACAATATCATTCCTGTTATCCATGGCAAACCGTTATCTGAGTGATTTTATGTCATTTGTGTTTCAAAGTATCACTTTCTTCTACACGCCAGATACAAATTCCACACTGATATAATAAGATAATGGATTTATAATAACAGGTGAAAAGCCCTGCTAGAAATTCTATATACGCGCATGCGCAAGATTTCGCGGTGAGTGACGACCCATCCCACTATACCGTGGCAGAGAGAGAAATGCGTTATAGTTTCCAAGACATTTTATGCATTGTCACTGACTTGTACTCTCTGCCTCTGTAATCGACTAGTGATCGGTTACATATGTTCCATGTGATTTCAGTTTCTCGTGGTGGCGAGAATTAAAAGGATTGTGTTCTTCGTTGGTGCATCTTGTAGTCAAAAATATTCATACACTAAAAGAAGGTTAAGGAACAACAGACTTTATGTCTGCTGAAAAACACCATCTCTATTTACTACAATAGTCGTAGACAGGTGTGAAGTAAAATCACAATTCACTGTTAAGAAAAGCAGATTATAATGAATGTAAATAAGGCAGCAAATGGCAACTTTGAAGAGTGGGGGAACACACAGAAAACAGTGATTTTTAAATACATAAATCCAAATGTTCCTTGAAAGTATAATATTTGGCCAGGCATGGAAGATATTTTGAATCTCAGCGTACAAATCATTATGAAAGCCTCCCTATAGCGAAGCAATACAACTGATAAAACCCAAACTTTCACAAATTTTTGCAACAATCAAAGAAGTGTGTTTTTATCAATACTACCCCAGGAAAGCCAACTATGACACTTTCCACATAAGGCCAAGTGTCATTACACATACAGGCACTGCCAGTTTACCACTAGGCAAACTGGGCAATTACCAAGCATGTTAAAATTTGGGGCCAGCAAAAATGTTAATAAAAAAGAAATGACATAAAATATGAAATAAGCCAAGCAAAATCACACACAAATCGGAAGGAATATATAAAAAAGTGTTTGCACTTCTCGCTTTGCAATATGCCACCAACAATATTTGGTATGATACACAAACAGTTGATGGGTGTGTTGTGAAGTCGAGGTGTCCAGCTGACACATTACCCGACTGATTGCCTCGTAAATGTGCACCATTACTCATCATTGTCAGCTGAATCATAGATCATTGTGCTAATTGGTTGTTTCAGTTTTCCCAATTTCTTTTGTTTGTACCTTAAAAGCTATACCAACAAACATTAATTGGTAACCATTATTACTAAATGGAAATTCTTTATTACAAATAATTGAAGGGGCATTATTATTATAGACATTTACATTATGTGTGCCCACATACTGAATAAATTCTAAAACAAAAGTACACTGCAGCACAATTTTCAATTTCGTAATTTCATTTGTGTGGAAGAGGGCGCCAAACACCGGCCCTACAAACAAGATTTACATATAAATGGAAAAGAAATTTACCACAATCGGAAAACAAGTTAGTATTTTACGTGCAACTTGTCTTTGAATTCCTTCTCCTTCAAATATAGGCAATTTAATTCCATCATCAAGAAGGCATAAACGGCAAGAATTTGCCCACTTGACAATATCATTCCTGTTATCCATGGCAAACCGTTATCTGAGTGATTTTATGTCATTTGTGTTTCAAAGTATCACTTTCTTCTACACGCCAGATACAAATTCCACACTGATATAATAAGATAATGGATTTATAATAACAGGTGAAAAGCCCTGCTAGAAATTCTATATACGCGCATGCGCAAGATTTCGCGGTGAGTGACGACCCATCCCACTATACCGTGGCAGAGAGAGAAATGCGTTATAGTTTCCAAGACATTTTATGCATTGTCACTGACTTGTACTCTCTGCCTCTGTAATCGACTAGTGATCGGTTACATATGTTCCATGTGATTTCAGTTTCTCGTGGTGGCGAGAATTAAAAGGATTGTGTTCTTCGTTGGTGCATCTTGTAGTCAAGTAGAAGTTTGCCGACGTTTCTGAGATGCTTGCTGCCATATCAACCTAATGGAGGCAGCAAACCTCTGAAACGCCGGGAACACACAGCCCTGCAACACAGAAAACAGCCATTTTCCCTATCGCTGTTTTATTAACGTGTTTCTTGTAGAATGCCTGAAGAAACTGCGCTGGGCGCGAGCCAAATGATAGTCATAGTCTCAACATTTTACATTAAGCATTACAGTGACAAAATAACTAAGGTTTAAGTTTAAGGAGAAAACAAGCTACATGCACGCTTAGAATAAAGTTAACGAGTTGTAGGAATTAACAGTAAGATTGGGAAGTTTGCTTGTGTATGTGGACATGTATGAAAATGTAACTGCAAGAATGCCTTTTCTGTTAGCAGCCTTTATTCTCACGGTCAGATTGAGTCATTTGATATTAAGGAAGTATTCATAACAAATCTAACGCTTTCAGTGGAATTCACTTGCTAGATGACTTTCGTGGACATGGCAAATAAAGGGAAGGAAGTTGTTCTTCCCGCTACCAATACAACTGAAAGCCTGAATGGTTGTTCCTGAAACCCGTCGGATTCCATTTACTACGTCCGATGCCTTGAATAATTAGATTGAGGGATCGCGACAAGTAGGAATAATCGAGAGAGTGGAAGGATATTTTCTATGGGTAAAACCAGTGTATTTGGATCAGAATAGGAATGGAAGCAGGCAGCTATGTTCAGACCGTCATGAGCAAAGGGTGTCAAATTTATGTAGTTGATGAGTTACCGTAAGTGTAAACATGCAAGCTAAATTCAGTTTTGATAGGCTTAATATTAAGTGTTATATCATGGTACTAAGAGATTTTAAAAAAATTGACTATTGTTTCAGAACCTGAGAGTTTCGCCGTGAACCGATGTTGCAGATTAGAAACCATGGTAAGAAAAACATTTGGTCACTAATCAGAGCCCAGTGGCAGGAAGGACAGATGTGCTCCACTCTAATTCTTGTTTGTGTTCATAGTGGTGTACTGGCGTGGGAAGTCCAATTTTCAGATCTCTTATCACGTCGACTGCTCACATCTAAGTCGGCGGAGAAGAATGTTATCATCTTGGGGGCATCAACTGATTTTGTGTGGTAGCACTCAATTCGTAATCTGATGTAGTAAGCGAGGAGTAGGACCCCCAAATCCGCGTGAATTTTGAAGTTAATTTAGAACACCATTGCAGAAACATTTGGATTGTAACACTTGCAACTGAAGTACATGGCCAAGAACTGCAGACTTTGGATATGTTGCTCATAAAAATCGTACAATTTCTAAAGGACAAGCTGCTTCTATTAATTAACAATAAGATTGTTTTGGAGATCTTCACATAGCGCCACATTACAAATTGTAGTTCTACTGTCCAATATTGTCGCAGCACTAGTTGCGTTGTTTATATTCCGTCTGTGAAGCTGAAAGTTTTCTCTTTGACTTCGATTGCGATCTTTAGCTGGATCTCTTTCGCTGGCGTTCTGGCGTCACCGGGCGGAACCAACAGTAGGGAAGACGAAGTAAAGAATGTCTTCTTTAAATTATATGGAACTTTGCCGTCTTTGCCTAGTAAAAGAACGAGTGTCGATTCCAATTTTTGAAGGAGAAGGAGATGTGCGCCAGATATATCTTAAAATAGCGTCATGCCTCCCAGTAAAGGTAAGCATCCAAAGCGTCACCCACGCCATGTCAAATTGAATCGCCATGTTATCGACTTTTATAATGAATGTGATTCCGTGGGTGATTTCTTTGTTTCTTTGAGATCTAGATTATTTTATGTGCTGAATGTTGTATGTCGGTGCTTTTGTACGTTATTCATAATTTTTTTCTCGAAGTAATTGAGATGGGTTGTGTTGCAGATCTTGAAGGGGTAATGGTAATTGCTGTTTGACATATTGCTAGTATAGAATAGGATTTATTTACATTCTATAGATCCTAAATAGGCCTAAGCCAAGGATGTAGAACAGGTCATAGCATAGATACAATACTTGTTTCTAGTAAAAATATAAATACATAGTTATAACAGCTATGGAATCGAGCACTCTGAAAGTAATTAAAGAGGCCTGAAATTGTTATGCTGTTTGTGGTATGAAGTGTTGCTAGCTCGAAATCCCAGGGGACTAAGCGTCTTTTTTGTGCCTTTTTATGTGGGTTATTTGTGATGCTAGAATCTGGCCACTGGTAGATATAGTGAAGAAATTTCTTCAGATGTAAACACTTTTGATGGCCGTTAAAACACTATGAAAAGTTTGGTAATGTAGGACACAATGACTGAATAAGTGATTATCATATACAATTTTGATAGCTAAGTTTAGTGCGGGTTACAGCGCCATGTACACTATGAATCATGAAGTTACTGGATTGGTTGGTCAGAATTGGGGATTCATCAGATTGTCATTTCTCTCAAGATTTTATTGGCTGATAATGTTATTACATATTTTGGTTTTTGTAGTTATTTTCAGTGGACTAAAAAATCAACAGGCAACAGTTTGACATTCTTTTCTTACAATCTGTATTTTGGTAACCATTTCCAGTTGCTCTTGGTAGTCTAGCACACAGATGTTCAAACATAAATAGTTACATAATGTAACATACAGTTTTTAAAGAGCAGGCCTAGCTGTGCAAATATAACATGTTAAAAAAATATACTTTGACATTGGGACTTACAAACATGATATTTACATCATTAGTGACCCATAATGTAGTGACTGGTCTCTGAGGGAACATTGACATCCAGCTGAAGTATAAGCCTTCACCTCCATTTTTCCATGAGAATATCTGAAAAAAGTCATAAACATTCATTCAGGTTTTTCTTCTGTGTATATTAAGAAATGAAGAGGAAAGGAGGAAGTTTTAGGTATTCTTTATGCTGTAGCACAAGTGAAGAGTGGCTTATGAGTACATCCTGTCTGTCCCAATACTCAAGAATGGTTGAAGGCATTCTTGACATTTTGTGTAGACCTTAAGTAATTGGAGGCGACTCAGATTACTTCATTTCCTGCAGTTGATAATACTATGACTAATGCTTGAATTTGTGGGATTGAAGGATGAGCCTCAGTTATGATGCCATTGCCTATGCTATCATCTGTGATGGCCATATGCATATAGTAACTCCAAGACAGCCACTTGGGTTTTTGTAGGAATTGGTATAGCCTTATGGACTTTGTGTCATTGGAGGCAAATTCAAACTTGTACTGTTTAATTTCCTATGATTGTTAACACCAACTTGATACTCGTATGTGTGAGTTGCGTGGGTAATATTTGTGTGGTGGGAGATTTGAGGTTTTCATGGTGGTGATCTGTATTTTGTCGCCACTTAGACTCAGTAAATGCAAATGGTTCGGAGAAATGTACTGTATCCAACTTTTGGGATGAAGCATATGGTGGTAGAGATTTGTTAAGATAGATAGAGGGAGATATGTCTAAGTGTGTTAAAACTTGTGAACAGCCAAATTGATTTTCATGAGGTTGGTATGGTTGATATATAACATTGGAGGCTAATTGAAATTCTTACCTTTGTTAAGGTCAAAATGAAGGTTTGAACTTGTGATATACACACACACACAGGATGTCCATGGGTTAACTACATGCTCTTGGAATCATTTTGAGTTGAAAAGTTAAAATAAACATGGGTCTGATCTACTGCTAAGTACATCTTTCTAATCTCGTATTACAGTAATCACTTAATGCCCTTGAATTTCAAAATTCCAGAGATATTCCATATGGAAGAAGACTGCAATCTTTAGACTCATCACTATGAAAACCTCAAATCATACATATTTCATATGCATTAAGTTTTGTTAGCCATGGTATTTGGTTGTATGTATGTTACTATTGTGTTCAATTGCAGTGCATTTTTTAATGTTCTTTGTTTAATTAAGGTACTGGTAACTTTAGACTTCATGACTTAACAGTGGTTATGTTTCCTTAATGTCTCCATTTTGCCAACCACAGATTTGTGGGAACACAGCCTCCATTGCTAATGAGGAAAGGCTGTATTACCAAAATAAGAATATAACATCTTCATTGCAAACTATTTTCATACAGGTTGTTGTGCCGTAAATGACAGAAATGATTTAGGATGTCGGTGACCATGAATCAGGAAATATTTTAGGGGATAAATGTTCAAGGATATAATGTTCCAACCTCTCTCTGACTGACGGAGGATTTACTTGACAGTGTTGTTCTGGGTTGTGACACTATATAGGCTTGTAGGTAGCCACCAAAATTTCAGAGAAAAGTACTGTCTCTGTCTTCAGCTCTGAAGCCTCATCATGTTTTCCATCGGCATGAATAGAGAGTGTGACAATTAAGTTTCAAGAATTCCTGCATACATTTCGCATCAAGTAGCGAGTGAGCAGTAACTAAGCAGCAATGTATCACGATGTGTTTAAGAGTATGTCGTGTGTTGGTGAAACAAGTAAGGCAGTAGTAGCAGCGAAGCAGTGGCAAGAGTTACACAAGTATGTGTTTTCTTGTCTTGGCAGAGAAATGAGTGATGGGTTGTTGGAGCAATGCACTAACATCAGTTTTTGTGCAGAGTTACGCAATGCAAATGTTAACAGAGGCTTATGTTTGCTGATGCTATGAAAGAGTTGAGTGTGAGTGGCATAAGGTTCAAAGAGGGTCAGGAAGACAGGAAAGACAATGCTTGTTTTTTTATCACAAGGGTGTTGTTCATTTTGAGATTGTTCAACAATTGAATTGTGAACCAACATTGTTATTTAAAAATACTTGCAAGTTTATGTGAGGCTGTTCTCAGAGAAGACCTGAACTTTGGCCTACTTGGATCTTGCATCATGACAATGCCCCTGCTCATAATACACTTGCAATCTGGAAGTTTTTGGCAAAAAATCAATACTGAAATTGGACCATCCACTGTATATGTCAGATTTGGCCCAGTGCTACTTTTGGCTATTTCTAAAACTGAAGACTGCTTTGAAGGGCCACAGATTTTGACATTGCAGACATTCAAGGACATACGACAACCATTCTGAATAGCATTTCAGGAGAAGAGTTTTATAAATGTTTTGTGCATTGGGAACACTTGACTCACTAAATGTACTGATGTGCAAGGAGATGACTGAAGGTGGCAGCACCTATTAGTCTGTAAGTAATTAAATACAGCATTTACAGGGGAATTCTGGGAAGATAATTGTCACACCTCTTGTATGTGAGCGCCATGTTGGAATGAGGCTGGGATGTAATGTTTGGTTACTATGCATGTGATATGAATCTCATTTGATGCATCCTGTATGTGTTGCCAAAGTTGCTGTCTGGTGTCCACGGTGTTGGCATAAAACACATTTTTATGGACGCCTGAAAGTAAAAGTCTGTTGGATTACGGTTTGGTGGCCATGGTACAGGAGCCTTGGGGCTTTGACACACCCAACATTCAGGATAATGCATTGTTAGGTATAGCCAGGATGAACTGTGCTGTTCAAAAGTCAGATCCACTATCATGACAAAACGCCCTCCAATAATTGAGGTAAATGTTGGCAGAAAAGTCACAAGGACCATTAAGTTAGGCTCACAGATTCAGGGACCAATGAAATGATATCCTATGCTTCTAGCACACATGTTTAATGGAAGATTGATGTGTCCAGGTCTTATTGTGTATGGCTTGGCCTCCACTCATGTATGTTGATTATTAAAATTCATGTCATCCCTTGTCCTTGAAGCTGTCTTGAAGTTTAGCGAGGAATTATTTGTAATAAATTCTTGTTGGGATACCAGGTGTGTAAGGTGGCTTAATGGAGAAAACACCAACAGTTTGAGAACCATCTTCATCCTTGTCCTCAGAGTAGCCTGAGAAGAATCTGTTATGCTTAGTTGCCATGAAGTTTCAGATCATACATGAGGAATTATTTATTTCTATCATGGTCCTGCATGCTTTTCATTTCCTCTCCTTTTCTGTCATATTACTTCTATTCCTTTCATTTCCCCATCTTGTCAATCTCCACCTTCCTTTTTTTGTCTCTTACATACTGCTGCAAACACCTGCAGCTGTGTAGTACTGGATACTAAAAAATTAATTTCTCTTCCTTTTGTTTTAATTTTTCATTATTTTATTTGTGCTGTTGATTTAATAAATAGTCCCCCATCTCCTTTATATTCATCATTTTTGTCTTTACATATTCAGTAAAAATAACCTGAAAAACTTTGAATTTGCTTGTTGCAGGTTGCAAGGGATGACAAACTCCCAAAGAAGATCTGTGATGACTGTATGTATAAATTAGACAATGCATACCAGTTTTGGAATATAACTGCTAATGCAGAAAAGCAGTTATTGCAATGGCTTGGTGAAATTACCAGTGATGACAAGAAGAGTGTCCCTAGCAACACAATAGAAACTGAGCAGGTAACCAGTGCCTATGTGTAGTGTGAATATGCTGTTACTTGTTTGCCTTGAGATGCTTGTACATATGAAGCTGCTGTTGAGTTCTGATGTAAATTGGTGCGAACACTGTACTAAATTCAAAATGAATATGAGATGTCTCACCTAAGTAGAATGACTCATTCTGCTTTTGTTATATAGGCTTGTAAAAAAATTTTTTTCCCCACTTGTATAGTGTTAAAATGTTTTTGTTTTCATTCCTGAACAAAATAACCCCAAATCTTCAACCACTTTTGAAAGTGGAGTTAAAAATTAATAATTAAAATAATAAATTCTTATATAAAAGTAATTTTATATCTACTATGATAAACTATTATTTTATTATGAATTACTAGTGCCTTGTTTTTGTTTAAAAATAATTAATTTCCAATAATAGCTATACCTCTTCCAGTGGTAGTAATAGTACATGTAATGCAAATATGTGTGCCTACAATCCCTAAATTTTTATTTATGAGCCATTCCATGTCATATAACAGGCCATTACCTGAATTCTCACATTTAATGATGATGTTTAACTCTTCATTGGGGTTTGTTGCTGTGCTGACTTCTGATGTGCATGTATAGTCATTTCTGATTTACTGATATTTGAAATAAAAAAATTAAAAAGAATTTTGTGGTGTGAATTTTGGTTTTTTAATTACTGGAATGTAATTTTAAAAGGAATTGAACCTGAACTATGAGGTATTGCATATTTAGAGAAAATAAACATTTCACTGGCATCAGATTTTACCTTTGACCTTGAGTTTTTGCAACATGCATAGTGTAATGCATGCTTGTCTACTTTTGTGCATTGTAACCATTTAGGGTCACTTGAACTTAGGCAGCAATAACTTCCTTGGTAAGCATTTAGACTAAGTATAAATGCATACTTTTTTAGCGTATGCAAGGCCTTGTAACACTTCTTCAACTGTTACCACATATGTCATCTTGAAAGAGACCCAGTTGAATTTCACCTGAAGAAGAATTTGTTGAGGTTTAGGTTCATGCATTGCCAGACATTTTTTATTAGAAACATGATTTTTCACAATCCAGTAGCATAATAAAAATAATGATAAATGCTGTGGAGATGATGAGTGATTATGATAGTATAGACTGAAGCAGGCTAAGATTATGGCAGCGTAGGCCACATTCTCCATAGCACAATCCCTTCAAGGAACAAAGTAGACAGCATACCAACAAATGAGTAATTTGTTAGACATGTGGGAAGTAAGTACAGTACCAGGGAAAGTAGATTGTCTTTCTGAGGTTGTGGGGGCTACGTGTATGTGCTGATGTGATTGTATTTTTGTACAGATGAATCTTGTGTACAAAAAAAATGCTTCAAAATGGAAATCTATACATAAAACTTCTAATGGTGAGATACAAAGGAGGTGGAAGGTGTTTAGGACTATTGGATCCTACATGTAATGAAAGAATATTTAAGGCTCTCCATTTACAG